AAGGAAGGAAGGAAGGAAGGAAGGAGAATTAAAGGGGACGGTGAGAGGAAGGAAGGAAGGAAGGAAGGAAGGAAGGAAGGAAGGAAGGAAGGAAGGAAGGAAGGAAGGAAGGAAGGAAGGTTGCAAGAATCCACTTTGTTTGCAGAAAAGGTAAACATGGAAGGGGGGAACAAAAGAGAAAGTAATTCCAGTATAAGCAATAAAGGGGAGGAGTATTAAGGAAGCAAAAAACAGGGAAGTGAAAACCCTCCTTTCCCAATCAGTTAGCCAATCACGAGCAAATTTCCTGGTTTTTACAGGTAGCATGATTTAAGGTGTTAAAAGACAAAGAGAGCTTGGGGAGGGGGTTCATTTGGAGGCTTTTATGAGACAAGGAAGCTGGCTCCCACTTTGACATTTGGAATATCTTGAGATCCTTCCCCCCCCCCCCCGCTTTGGAGGGTTGATTTATATTTCGAGTGGGCCAGCCACAGATCAGGAGCGCATTTTAAAATTCATTTTTCATCACTGTGTGGGAGAGCGACCCTCAGCAGATGCTTCTGTATCTCGCCACCCCGCTTGGGACAGCAGGGGGTTAGGAAGGAAAGGAGATTAAAATGCAAAATTCATCTGTTGGTATGCAGAGGAAACTATTGCATCTCTGATGGGGGATTTTTTTTTCTCTTCAAGCGTTCGCTCAGAGGACGCACGGCTTCTTTATTAGGAATAAGGACATAGGGACTAAAACCCCTTTTTGCCCATTGCAGGGTGGCGCAGGTGTTAAATGGTTGCGTTCCGATCTGGGGAAGCAAGCCTCTGCTTCTCTTCCTAAATCTTAACCCTCCTTGGATGGGATGAGGCCTTGAGGATGGGCAATTAAATATCCTGATATGGACCCCTAGCCCTGCGGGGTAGGCTCAGAGGCAGACTTTGCACTCAGGATCCCTCACGCCAAGCCAGACGTTTTTGCCCCCAACACGCCACACTCACTGAGGCTCTTCTGGACTCCGGATACGACAAGGGATGGGAAAGGATCACAAGGAGGAAGCATCAGCAGGGAATGAAATGAAGGAATGGTGGGAACAGGTGGAGGAAAGATTTTTAAAAGCCCCAAGAATTCCCTTTGTGGACTTTGCACCGCTCTCTCGACGACCGGAGGGATCCGGGCTACCTTAAACCTTTGACTCCCGTCTGGCTGAATGAAAGGCAGGAAACTGAGAAGGCGGGGAGAGTCCAAGTTAGACTCCTGGCATTTAATTTTAAAGAAGCAGAAAGGAAGGGAAATCCACCCCAGTTTGGTCTGCTCATTGTGAGAGTTCCCGATTCAGGTCCTGATTATTCCCACGTTCCCGATTAAACCCCACTCCTGCTTTCGACGAATTCAGCGAGAAAACGTCCCACTGAGTCGAGAATCGTCGAGCTGAAGGGAGCCTCGCGGGCCTTAATGCACCCCAACATTCAGAAACTTGGTGCCTCGCCAAGTGGACTGGGCAAAAGTGGGCCGCACAGATTCTTTTCAAACTTTCTTAAAATAGGGGGCAGATGCAAACGGCTTCGCCTTCAGCACACAGGCACGTTTCTAGCTCCCCCCCGCCTGTCCCCAAGAGGAAAAGGGTAAGTAAATAAATAAGAGTTTTTCTGCTCTCCGTGGCCTATATATAGCAGTCTCTATTGACATCAGAATCCTTGCTGGAATGCTTGGGACATGATTCCAGTCTTCCTTCTAAGGAATACGATCAATCAGTCAACGCAAGGGGGAACATCTTACCCTTAGCGATCCTCCTGTCTCCTTGCTCGGCTTTCCTGCAAAGGTCAGGATCCCGCCTCGCCTGGGGCTTGGTCTCCAAAGTTCTTTCAAGCTGCTTCTCCTTGACTTCTCCATCCGCTCCATCTTCAGAACCTCCTTCAACGATAGGCTGCAGACCCAGTCGAGACATCTTCCTCCGCGGCGGGATTTCCTTCGAGCCCCAGAAATGTCCACTCGGGGTTGGCTCTGAGTCACTCATCTCTTGCCCAGCGTGGCCATCGGGGACCCCTTGCCCAGGCATTGCCCGGCGATGCGCTGGGTTGCCCACCTTGGTGGCAAGTTGGCTGTTCTGCTTGCGATAGCGGAGCTCCTTGAAGGTGATGATCCCTCGTTGGAGGCTGTTGCTGGGGTTGGATGGTTCCACTGGGGAGCTCAGGGGCCTGGTGGTCTCCTGCCTGTTTCCCCAGGAGAGTTCATGAGATGGAGGCATCTCCGTGTCGGGGGAAAAGACAATCAACCAATCGCTTTGGTCTTTCTTGGTCTGGAGAATGGGTGGCGTCGCTGAAACTTTCTTCCGTTTCTGCGCCAACTCATGGAAAGAAGTGATGGTCTTCTTGGAGGCTTCACCTTGCGGTTCGCTGTGGTGGAACCGGTACTCGACTGGTGCAGGCGCGACTACCTCTGGGCATGGTTTCCCTCCTTCACTTCTCCTCAACCCCTGAAGCCCCCTCTTGGTCCTAGGAGGCACCGGAGGAGGCACACTTCCAAAACGAGACCCCACGGGCATGGCTCGGTTGGAGTTGATGTCCACTTGCCCCAAGGAGATGTTGTTGGACTTGAGCTCCTGGGCTGGAAGAGCATTGCAGTTGGAATCCAGTTCTGGGCCAAGACGGGAGATCACTGGCACAGCAGGAGGCGCCCTGCAGGGGCGGACGGGGGGTGGAACAAGTGGGGGAGCTTTGATGGACCCTGCATGGGTTGACTCAACCAGACTTTCTGGGCAGGGAGGACTGGTGTCTGACGAGGACCCCAATGAGCTGCTGCTGTACAGACTGTCTGGACTATCCCAGACTTGGGTCTCTGGATGTTCACCCATGTGGATGTTAAGGTTTGGACCTTTCTCTTTGTTGGCCAGGGAAAGGACATTCTGGGTGTCCTCCAAGGGTACAATATTGGGTTGACTTTCTGGACTTTGGGCCTGTTTAGCAGGGAAAGGCTTGCAGTACACTGAGACAGGAGACTCGTCCAGACTGAGGTCCGAGCAGCTGCTAATGGAGGAGGAAGTTGGATCTGAAGGAGATCCTTCTTCCTCTTCCTCCTCCTCCGCCTCCTCTTCTTCTTCCTCACGGTTCACAGTTGGGCAGTTGGTCAAGGAGGGTTGGGTCTGGAGGCCCTGTTTGACCTCCGATGATACAGCGTGAGCCTCGCAACACCGGCATGGCAAGGATGGGTTGTTTGAATTGGCGTCCACCAGCCCGGGGACCAGGTTACCACCGTGCTGCTGACATTCATGGCAACTCATTTGTTCCATTGATGGCATCAAGGCGCTGTCCTCTTCCTGGAGTTCCGGGCGGCGCGAGAGGTGGAGCCCCAAGGAGATGTGTTGCAAGTGAACGTGGTTTAAGTTGCAAATCAAACCCTTTTTGGGAGAGTGCATGGCTCCTGAGCACAAGGAAGGAAAGGGTTTGGAACCCGCGGCCCCGTCTGTCGACGCCTCACAATTTTCTGTGAAAAGGAAGATCAGAGTGTCGGCCGATCAAGAAGGAAAGAAAAGGGGAGGAAAAGCCGGTGGGGAGAATCCAGCAGGAGAAAAGGTATAACGGCTTGGTCTCCTTTCCATTTCTCCACAAAACATTCCAGCAGCTTTTGGTGGCCGTCAGGGAACTGCTCCCCCCGCCCCCCCTTGCAGGCAGTGTTTCCTGCCAACTTTCAATGCTGAATCGATTCAGACTGATGGTGGTGCGGGGGGGGGGGGGGGGGATCAAACTGAAGGGGGGAAATGGCTCTGGGATTTGGAAGCGGGGGCCTTAGCGGTCCAGAAGCCCCTTTCGAACGGTGGCTGGGGGCTTGAGGAAGTGCAAAAAGACCTAAGTGGGGCACCTGATATTTCAGAGGTAGACTGCCTCTGCATAGGAAGCCTTGACAGATAGCTTTGCTTGATGGAGGCCAGCCTCATTGTAACGGAAGGCCCGCCTCTGAAAGAAACATCTGGACTCAGTGTTATAGCCAGCCTGCCTGCCTGCCTGCCTGCCTGCTTTCTTTTTCTTTTTTCTTTTCCTTCCTTCCTTCCTTCCTTCCTTCCTTCCTTTTCTTTTCTCTTTTTCCTTTTTCCTTTTCCTTCCTTCCTTCCTTCCTTCCTTCCTTCCTTCCTTCCTTTTTTCTTTTTTTCTTTTTTCTTTTCTTTTCCTTCCTTCCTTCCTTCCTTCCTTCCTTCCTTCCTTCCTTTTTTCTTTTTTTCTTTTTTCTTTTTTTTTCCTTCCTTCCTTCCTTCCTTCCTTCCTTCCTTTTCTTTTTTCTTTTTCCTTTTTTCTTTTCCTTCCTTCCTTCTTTTTCTTGTTTCTTTTCCTTCCTTCCTTCCTTCTTTTTCTTTTTTTCCTTCCTTCCTTCCTTCCTTCCTTTTCTTTTTTCACTTCCTTCCTTCCTTCCTTCCTTCCTTCCTTCCTCCCTTCCTCCCTTCCTCCCTTCCTCCCTTCCTCCCTTCCT